AAGTCAGTTTCATGGATTTCAGTAGGGCTAACGCTTAGGTAATTAGATAAAGAGATCACCCTTGCCTGGAAGTAACCCTCATTGAACTACATGGGACATATTTCTCCACAGCTATCCCTCCCTCCCTCCCTCCCTCCCTCTAGTTATAAAGAAAGCCAGTGTGATGGTTGATTGTTGGACTATCACTCTGGGAGACCAAGTTCGAATCCCAGCTCAGCCATGGAAACCCACTGGGTGACCTTGGGAAAGTTACACTCAGCCTCAGAAGAAGGGAATGGCAAACTCCCTGTGAAGAAACTTGCCAAGAAAACCCCATGATAGGAGGCTAGTCATAAATCGGAAACTACTTGAGGGCACACAACAACAACAAAGAAAGGGAAAAAAAAGGAGGAAAAGAATACATAGAATATGAATCTGGAGAAGACATATACATCAATGTAAAACTGACCATATTTTTTTTTTAAAAAACCTACATTTTCTTGAGCTGGACGTCTGCACAAAAACACATATCTAAAGCAATGAGATCTTAGACTCTTGAACAATAGATGGTGGATATTTTGTCTTTTCAGCCATGGTGAAAAAGTATTTTAGCAAGAGTAACAACACAGGAGTCAAGCATGTTGGACATCAGTTAAATTCCATATAACTTAATATAAAATAACATGTCAAATATTTTTCCAATACAAAATTAAAATGTCGTAAAACACCATTCCCTCCACTACTTCACAGATGAAAGCCGGGAGATGTGTGGCCAAGCAACTAGATGGCAAAAGTTGTTAATGAGGCAGAACACACAAGCTGGGAGAGACTGCAGCAGTTTGCTTTTGGCAAATCCTACTGGGAAGGGCAAGTTTCTGCCCCCTTCTCTTCCCCCACCAGATTATCTGAATGCAATATACTTTTGTCCATTGAACACAGTTTGTAGCAATTGAAGTAGAATGTAGCAAAGGTAGAAAGTGGGAGTAAGGGAGAGAGACTGCCTGCCAAATCAGGACAGTTGGACCATATGAAATACCATCCCAAAATGGTAACTACTCAACATGCTTATAACATATGCCCCAGGAAAGCATTAGTTGTATTTTAATTGTATTTTGTTTTAAATCCTATTGTGAGTCACCACTGCTCCCATATTGGGAAAAAGGTGAGACATACATTGAATTAAGTACCATAACTAAATAAAATTACATCAGCAACTTTCAGCCGAAGTGGACAGTACCTTTCTAAAGAGGCATAGTGGTGTCCAGTACACCTGAAGCATTTTTGTTGAACCAAACATAACTTTATATCTAAAGAAATTTTAAATATGGAAACTAGGGAATTTTTCCATTGGCTGTTTTGTATAGGACAAACTAACTCTGTATTCTACTCCATTCTAACTGGATTAACATCAGATTTAGTAATTTATAACAAACCTGTATATACTAGTCTTGTTTGTTTCATTTTCTCTGAGGATATTATTAATACTTCCAGCATAGCATGGGTGGCAGAAACAGAGCTGATGGTCCATACAGGCATCAAATGGTGTTACAGTTGTAGATATTGCCCAAGTTTATCCATGGGTATCTGATAAGTAGGCTGCAGTATTGAAAATGGCATGAATTCTTGATCTTGACCTATCAATACATTGAGAGTAAAATTTGAATCATTTCATCTAAATGCAGTAACAACTGTAGCAATGTACTATTATCCTATAGAAACTCTAATGTGTATTGGGTGGGGTGGGGGTTGAACTCTAAAGAAAAATAAATCTAGCAATCGACTAAAGATAGCCTGGATTCATCACTCTGTTTTGTGTCTATGTCAGTCTTAACCACATTCAGTCATCTCTCTTCTATCCTGCTTTTGTGTCAGTCTGCAACTTTAAAAAATAATAATTTGACACGGAAAAAAATTGGAACTGAATGTACTTTCCCCTTAAATATGCACTTAATCCTAAAGTACATGTTCCTATAAGCACATTTACCTAAAGTCCATATTGATAAATGCACTTTTCTTTAAAATATACATTTTTGTTTGTTTGTTTTTTGTGTATGCTGAGACCACTATTAAAACATTCTGTTGCATTCTATAAGGATATTTATATCCTGATAATTCCTTGTGCTAGCCAAGAAGTTTGAATTGGGTTGGGTCATTTAAAAATGTAGACTGAATGATACGTTTGAGCAACTTTAAAACTGACATCATTTTTAAGAAGGTCATCATGACATTCTCCTCAAAGATTAAGTGCAATTATTTACTGGGGACATATCTTTTTTTAAAAAAAGAGTCTGCTGCATGTAAATGGGGAAGGTTGGAAAATACGAAGAGCACAAATCAGTTTTGTATTACAATTCTTAAAGAGTACACTTTCAATAAATGTCTATGCAAAAAAATTGTTTTATAATGAAATCTGAATGAAATTCAAGTCTGCATAATTTAAATTGTTTTGAATTTTGAGGGGAGCCTACACGAGTAAAATGGAATCTTGCTACAGAAATTACCCCTGCAATATGTGGAAGAAAATGAAGCTGAGAGACCGACAGCTGAGGAGCTGGGATCAACAAATGCGTTCTTGCTTGTCCTCTCACTTGGTGCTAATTTTGTGGGAGTAAATGTCAGAAAAGAGAGGCAGTGTGGTTTAATGCTTTAAGAGCTGGACTATTACTCTGGAGATCAGGGTTCAATTCCCTCGCTCAGTCATGGAAACCTACTGGGTGACGTTGGGCAAGTCACACACTTTCAGTCCCAGAAAACCCCATGATAGATTCACTTAAGGGTTCCATAAGTCAACTTGAAGGCACACAACAATAGAATGTCAGAAAAGGGCGATTAATAAATGCTGTTCAGCTTAATGCCTACAGCTCTGCTTCTGGAATATACAAGTAACTAGGGCCAGAATCCAAAGTATGCTTAACATCACACAAGGAATTTGCAGTAAGCAATGACCATGGAAGATCTACAACAGTTCACCCTAAATAACAAGAAAATTGAAATAGTCAAGAGTTCCCATACCGTGAATCAAATATTGGTCAGAATGGAGACTGCAGTCAAGAAATGAAAAGAAAACTAGGATTAGAAGGGCAGCTATGAAAGAAATGGACAAAATCCTAAAATAACTGAACACTAAAGAGAATTGTCCAAGGCATCATATTCCCCATCACCATGTATGGATGTGAGAGCTGGACAGTGAAGAAGACAGATAGGAAGAAAATCAACTCATTTGAGAAATGGTGCTGGAGAAGAGTGCTGAGGATACTGTGGAGAGCCATAAAGACAAACAAATGGGTCCTAGAATAGATCGAGCCAGAACTCCCCCTGGAAGCCAAGACGGCCAAACTGAGGCTGTTGTAATTTGACCACATAAGAAAAAATGACTCAGTAGAAAAGACAATGATGGTAGGAAAGATGGAACGCAGTAGAAAGAGGGGAAGACTGCATGCCAGATGGTTAGACTCAAGTAGGGAGGCCATGGTCAGAGCCTGCAGGACTTGAGTAAAGCAGTGGAGGCTAGTGGCGGTGTCTCATCCACATTCCTCATGAGTTGAGTTCAACTAGAGGACTGTTAACAACAACAAGTCCAGTGGAGAGTGACTTTCTGACTTAATGACTACCTCCCTTGTAAACTGGAAATTGCTTCCCAATAGACTGTACTTCCCCCTGTGTCCTGAAATTTCACTCAGGGCTGAGCAGACTGAGTGCAAAAGCTGGCTTACCTTCAGGGTTTCCTGGTTTGCAAGGAGAACCTGCTGACTGCTGTACCGGCTCCCACAATGGGCTGAACATCCTTGGACAGTCTGCACCGCTGCTGCTCCCTCATTGATAAGGATGGACCACCAAAATGGAGTGTTTGTGGGTACAAGCAAGGTGTGTTTTTTTTCTCTTCCACCCCAAACACATGTGCACTATGGTCAGCAATGGTGCCAGTGGCTTGCTGGCCCCTTCCATGGTTTTCACATCAGTGCACAGTATGCATGCTGGTACAATAGTTCACACTTTCCGGCTTGAACCGGAGCAAGCTAGGGGTTAATTTTCTTCTATGTTTAGCCCCAGAGCTGTGGCCTCATCCTGGATTCCTCCTTTGTCATTTAAAGAGGAAGGTTTCAAAACAGGGCAAAACAGTCCTCTCTCAGTCTGACCTATTTCATAGGATTGTTGTTGTGAGGATAAAAGGAAGGAGCGCACCATGTATTCTTCCTTGAGCTCAGTGGGGGAAAGGTATTAGAGAAGTGTAAAACATAATAATAACAACAACAACCACTACTACTACTACTACTACTAGGGGCATGCAGCACAATACGGGTTTAATCTCTATAGGGCTCCATTTTAGTCACGTGGAGAGGAACATGTATGCCTCTGGAGATGTTTCAGAAATTTTTATTGCAAACTGATCGCCTGGGAGATTGGTCAAGCTGCTTTCCCATTTAAAATTGGATTGCCTTTTCATCCAAGTAATCAGTTGCAGAAAAACTTAGAAAACATCGCTGGCTGGATATATTCTTCTTCTCTAATCTATGCAAATGGCTGTCTATTTCAGTTGTCTGCACAACCAGCTCCTAGAAATCTGATATTCCCCCCGCCATCAAACCTAACCTGTTACTTGCTTGTCTTGCAGCCAGCCGTTGCACTGTCCTCTCATATAGTTAATTAAAAGCATCCATTTAAACCCTGCTCCTGTCTTGAAAGTACATACCAGTATAAAGGTGTTGCATTGTGAATCCCTGACCTATCCATACGCATTGGCCTTGTTTCCCTGCCAGCCCTACTTTGGGTAGCCATATGGAACTCTTTCATGTGGGATGGGAGCGGGGATTATGGCTGGCTCAATATCTTACCTGGTATGGAAGAACTTTCCAAATTCAGCAACATGTGCATAAGGATCCTTCCCATAATCCAATACAGCAAAGACTCCACAGTCTTCTCATGCCTGTTCTTTTAACACATGTGGATAATGTTCTCCCTTTCTGTCACTGTCCAAAGGACATTGAAACAATCTTGTTACAGGGAACTTTAAAATTCTACCCCCACTTTAATAATGACACCATATAGGATGTGGTGTGAAGTTTGTTGGGCATTGCATGGATAGTCAGATATGGATGGTAGCAGCACATTGAATTCTTTCTTAACTCTTGCAGCATTGTGTGTGTGAGTGACAGAAAGAGAGAGAAGATGAAGTGAAATACTAATGAATCTCTAGTCCCTCAATGATTTCCTATTAGTAGATCAGGACTCACAAGTACCCAGGTGAGTGCTGGGCAGAGAACTGTGGAACTACTTAATTCTGTCTTGTGTGCTTATGTGATGAGCTCCCTGAGTAGCAACTAACTTTGGCCATGACATCCTTCAAATCTCTTCCCTTATTGTGGAAGATAGCAGGAGGGTCAGTGGTGATAGCTCCTTCTCTTTTCCGTTAGAAGTACAGACAAGCCAAGAATGGTGAGGCATTCAGCTTTCTGACAGCTTTTCTGTGGCAACCGGCTGTCCCTCTCCACTCAGAATTTGCACAAGGTAGTGTTAAGCATGTCAATTCCGCTTGCTTGTTGCCAGACCTTGGAAACCTAAAATATTTTTTTTACTATAAACTCCAGAATCCCATGTCCCCCATGTCCACATCTGGCTGGGGATTCTGGGAGTGGCAGTCCACACAAAGTTAATATCCCGAAGCTCTGATTGATTTGTTGTTGTTGTGGACCTTCAAGTTGTTTTCGACTTATGGCGACCCTAAGTAAGGTGAACCAATCATGGGGTTTTCTTGGCAAGATTTGCTCACAGGAGGTTTGCCATTGCCTTCCCCTGAGGCTGAGAGCTTGTGACTTGCCCAAAATCACCCAGTTGGTTTCCTGGCTGAGCAGGTTGCTTGGACAAAATGTTTATCTGAAACTGCATAGGACCTAAGAAAGTCTCATTTCCCAACTTGGGAACAATATTTCAAGGCCCCAGGCTAGAGATGTAAACTAGAGATGGCAGGGTTTAAACCAGAAGCCTTCTGCATGGTACCTAAGAGATCTGCCACTGAGATACAGCCTTCTCACCCCCTTCGTTCCCATGTCCCAGCCTGGGCAGCCCATACCTAGTTTGGCAGTCTGATCATATGCAACCTCTCAAAGCCGCAGCATTCCACAAGAGAGACGGGCCACATTTCCGCATTACACGCTTATAGTGCGGCTATCCCACTTTTATTGTTGCATTCTGGGGTTTGTAGTTCAGTGAGGCCTAAGAGCTCTCTGGCTGAGAATTCTAAATACCCCTCCTTAAACTGCAAATCCCAGAATACAACGGGAGGCAGCCACAGCAGTTAAAGTGGAATAGCAGCGCTATAAGAGTGTACTGTGGTAGTCTAGTGGGTCCACCCACCGTTTTTGTTTCCAACAAAGCAATGAAAGCACCATCTCTTTTCATAGTTGATTGGAGTTTGCGCATCATTGCTTCCAAGGAAGGTTTTAAACCACTGGCATGCCAACAACAGCAGCTATGTTCTATTTCCTGTGACCATTTGGCTTCTAGCTCTTTCCAGATTTTGTATAGCACATATCTTATTTCCCTTCTCTTTCCATTTACTGAGTTAACTGTTCATTTGTTCCTCCTTTTTCTGCACACACATGCACACACCTTTTACTAAAGCACCCAGATAGTCACCCAGCCCAGATTCATTGTCTTCTTGGAGGTTGCTTTACCCCCGACTGATTTTCCGATTTTCTGTTTGTGAAGTTTGGTGGTTAACCATGTGCAATGGTGTGTGTGTGTATAATGGAGCAGTACCTCCTTTCTCTTCCCCCACTTCCCAATTCCTGATTTCCTTCAGGCCAAAGATGTTCAAACAGACAGAGAACGGGGAGAGTGGGGGGAAGAGGAAAAAGGCAGGAAACAAGTGACAGGGATAAAGCACAGTAGAAAGTACGGAGCGGAGGGGGGGGTGAGAAGAAGCAGTGATGAAATATTTATTAGCCGGCGTGCGTGCCAGGCGCATTAATAAAGCAGCCACATTTGCATGGTGTTCCTGTCAAAGAGCTGAGGAGTCTATTTGGGGTGGGGGAAGGAAAGAAATACGTTGGCATGGGGCAGCAGAGAGAATGTGAAATGGCGACGGGAGAGACTGAGGGATGGGCAAAATGTGCAGAGGACAAGTCAGTCTGGCTGTCATGTTTGTGCCTGTCAGTCATGATGGCAATGGGGCATCTATAGGTTCAAGAGCAGTATGCCACTGAACACCAGTTGTTGGGAGAAGCATCGCAGGAGACTGCTATTCTACTTGTGGACTTTGCATTGCGCATTTGGGTGACACACTAAGATACTGGTCTCCTTAAACAGGGCTTATCTTACCTTTCATACAAATAAATTAGGGACTTTGTTGTCTTTCCCAGTTGTACTACAAGTGGAAGTTAAATAGTTAAAACTAAAGGTTGACTGTTGAAGCCAAGCCAGAAGCAAGGGATGAACTAAAACGATTAGGTCCTGCCATGTTTGCTAGCCATATATTTTGTATATGCTTTATAATACTGGATGATGGGTTTTGCTGTACTAGTATTGATGCTGGGTGGAGAAATTGTTTACACTTTTTGCAGCTGGCTAATGGGCAGATGTAAAGAAAAGGAAAATGTGCTTTGAACTGTCAAGCTCAAGTCGATGGGGAACGCTTGGTAAGAAAGGGAAAGGAGAAGCAATTGTGAGAACAGGATTGTTTTGGTTAAAAGACAAATACGGGA